TAGACACGCCTAGTCGTCTTTTGTATGGACACAGGTTTGCGTGCGTGAGAATATTAGAATCAACTTTTAACAGAATGACATTAAAAATCTTCGTTTTTACAACAGGTAAGGAATGGGAATTATACAGGACGTCTTTTTTTTATACGATACACTATCCCCGCTTCAGAAATACGTTCTAGAAAACAACATTAAAATAAATAACATTTTGCCAGTAATCGCCTGGACAAAGTAGTAAAAGAAATCGGAAATAAAGGATTATCAATTGTATGAAGAGAGTTTATGATTGTTAGCAAAAGGGCTAACCTAAGAGGTTGTTACGATCTGAAGATGTCAAAATCCGTACTACAAGGATTCCACTACAAGGAACATATATCATCTACAAACTATATATATCCATGAAACATAGGTTTACTCTGAGAGTATAAAATCATATAATCATATATACGTAGTTGGAGTCAAGAATTTTCTTACAAAATAATTCGATTTCAGCACTAAATAAACCATAGGAATTGATATGCCGTTATATAAAAATAAAAATAACCAAAAACAAACGAGCGAAACAAGCAACCAACGAAGATATGGTGATTTTCCAAGTGCAACTTAGGTGTGGCACAAGGCCGAAAGTATGGCGCACAAAGTAAGGATCGAACTGGCTACTCAGTGGTTAACTGTACTAGCAAGACAAACTCGTTAACAATTACACCGTCTGGGGTTGACCGAAATAGTGATTTTCTAAGGAAAGCTTAGATGTGGCACAATGCCGAAAGTATGGGACACCCATTGATGATCAAACTCACTACCCAGTAGTAATTGTTCTAGTAAGACAAGCTCGTTAACCATTACCTCGCCTCGGAATACCCCTGAATAGTGATTTTCTGAGCGAAGTTTAGAAAATACAAGGCCGAAAGTATGTAGCACCAAGTTATGATCGAACTCAATACTCAGTCGTAATTGTTCTAGCAAGACAAACTTGTTAACCATTGCATCACGTCGAGGTGCCTCATCAATGATTTTGATGCTCTTAGATGTGGCACAAGGCCGAGTATGGGGCACCCAGTAAGGATCGAACTCACTACTCAGTCGTAATTGTTCTTAGCGAGACAAACTTGCTAACCATTACATCACGTCAAACGGAGAGGGCTTATTTTTTAAGCGTAGTTAGATGTGGCACAAGGCGGAAAGTATGGAGCACCTAAGGAACAAACCCCTTTTTCAGTCGTAACTGATCGAGTTCAAATAACTAATCATTACATCAGGTCGAGGTACAACCATAATTAAAAGTGTACAATACCTTTTTTTTATTAACTTGTTATATAATGGTGGGTGAGTTTAGCGTAGCTACTGACTACAGATTGTCCTTCAAAAGCAAAAGACTTCGGCCATGGGCAAATCCTTCTAGGTGTCAACATATTCATCTACAGGGTGTCCAGAAACTTGAATTATCACTGTTTTATCTTTCAGGAAATATTGACTTTGAATAACCTTGAGTAAAATGTCTTCGAATCCCATGACCTTTGAATAATCGTTCGACCTCAAAAATTCCTTAACTCTGATTGGTTCTTTATGAATAATTAATTGCTGATTGGTTTTTTATGAATGATCATTTGCTGATTGTTTTTATGAATGATTAATTGTTGATTGGTTATTTTATGAATAATTAATTGCTGATTGTATTTTTTGAAAAATTATTTGCTGATTGGTTCTTTTATGAAAATTAATTGTTGATTGGTTCTTTTATGAATGATTCTTGTTGATTGGTAACTTTTTGAATAATTAATTCTGATTGGTTCTTTTACTGAATGATTAATTGTTGATTGGTTCTTTTATGAATAATTAATTTGATTATTATTTTTATGAATGATTATTTGCTTATTAAGTAAACAAATGATCACGTAACCATTCCAAGATGACTAGTCATTCCTTCACTGAGTCAGTAGTCGTAGATCAGAGTAGACCATACTCTACTCTGGTCATCTCTTGTTTTATGTGCCAAAATATACTGTTGAAGAAGAGTCTATTTGCCGGCCCTGTAAAAGAAGCCAAAGGTTATTTGCCGGTAACATTTTTTATTATAATGAAGTCAGTTAACACAAGAATAACAAAACGCAGATTTAACAGTCTTTGCAAATCCTAAACTTACATTGTGCATGGTTTTCACAGACCACAGAATCCATGTTGTAAAAGTTCAATGGAAAGCAAGAGGCGGGAAGAGAGTTCCATTAGCGGGAAGAAACTGTTAACATTGAACTTATGTTTGCATCTAGCAATTTTAAATGTAAAATGACGATACATAGCTGCCTATCTTGTACTGCATTTAGATTTCAGCTGTTTTTTTTCTGATTTTGAGTGGATATATTTTTTTCTAATGCTATTTTCTTGGAATTTCCAGTATCCTTCTGTAGAAGCTTAATTCTGTTGCCTCTCGTTTTCTTCTCGTTTCCGGCGAGATTATCCAATATTCACGGCCATATGTAAAAAAAAAAAAAAATGATACACATAGAAATCTAGCACAGTTTTATTTTTGTTTGTCTGTTTCTAAGAATTTTTTATTTTATTTTTGTCTTTTCTCAACACATTGCTTACCTTTTGGAAGGCTTCTATCTCTAGTCCAATGCGTATTTGGATCTCAGTGTCACATTTTGCATACCCTGTTAAAACACGTCCCAAATTAGTTGTTTTTAAATTTGCAATATACGTAATGGCTCTAAAGAAATATCTTCATATGCATGGGGGAAGGGCGCAAGGCATATAGCCTAAGGACAAACCTAGATCGAAGATGATCTCACTTCTCACTAGGTGCCACTTTAGTATATAATTAATGTCATGAAATAACAGATGGTCTTAATAAAAATTAATCCCAGTGAGGAGCCTTTATTCTGGGTGATGTTGATCTACTATAACCCCGATATGTACTGTACTCATCTCAGAAGCTGCCAGAGTAGAATTTTGCATTCAGACAAGCGCCGGGTCAGCAAAGAAGCAAGGTGTATCAGTGGGTTGACTTGAAACACGGCCTCCTAGCCACTAGGTGTAAATCCGCGCTTTCACTATATGTCAGTGGCTTCTCTATATATATAAAGGGTTAGTCGACACAGATGTGCGTAGAATAAGCACAAGTTGAGATAAAGCAGATATATAATTGCCCCACCCAAGAAAGTAAGAGTGAGTCATTTACGTTGGCAGGAGAATGTAAAACCAACGTTTGGAGAAGAGCAAAAGTCAGGCGCCAACTAGCCAATATTAATTGACGAAATCAAAGATTTAATAAACTATATAATATTACGTAGAAGTGATTTTAGTAGGTATGCAATTAGAATACCTCAATGAAATTGAAAGATGCCTAAAAAAACTAAGCAAAGTATCAAGAAACAGGAAAATTTCTTTAGAAACAAAGAAAAGAATATTGAAATGTTATGTAACATCAGTCCTCCTATATGACAGTGAAACCTGGGCAATCTCCTTGCAGATGAATAGCCTTCAAGCAACAAAGATCTGGTTCTACAGAAGGCTGCTGAGAATACCATGGACACGGAATTTTAGAGAAAATAGAAACAAGAAGGACACGTATACTGAACATCAGGAAACAACTATGTATAAATCTATCTTAACATCATGTATCTCTTTGTGTCCCGTCGTTATCTATCTATCTATCTATCTATCTATCTATCTATTTCAGTCTGTTCATATCTATCTATCTATCTATCTATCTATCTATCTATCTATCTCTTCACCATGTATCTCTTTGAGTCCCGTCATTATCTATCTATCTATCTATCTATCTATCTATCTATCTATCTATCTATCTATCTATCTATGTGTGTGTAAGGAGTATTATTAATTGTGTCTTTATGATTAATTTATAATGGCCTATTTCCAACCGTCATTCCTGTCGAATGAGCCAAATGACAGAACAGGCGTTTGAGACGTATGCTTACGTCAGTAATTCTCCTCAAAAAAGTTATTTTTTTTTTAAATGAAACTGGTTGCTTCTTAAATAAAGTCTTCATTCTAAAACCTACGTACCAACCTCCCTACCTACCTTTTTAGCAATCTAACTTCTGTACTATCTCCTTCACACTTACCAACGCTAACAGTCTGCACGTTAAAAGCCAATCTACGCTTTATTCATTTTTCAATTACAACGTCTGCCAGACGCGAGATTAGGGCATTCTCTTCCGACCACAAGAGACCTTGTCTTTTCGTTAGAGTGATGATATTCAAGCCGACCGACAGATGGTGCGTCCATCACGGCTAGCGACATCATTTTTCACCCAGACAGATTTTTTTTTTCATTTTAACGGTATGGCTGCTAAATTAGGCAGCAGAGATCTGCTTGCAATGAAACTTCTTTCTTTTTTGGGGGGGTAGGGACACTTGGTTTGACGAGTTAAGAGTTGAGGTTGTTGAAGTTATACACTGGGATTTAAAAGATGTATGCTTTCTCCATTAGAAGCTTAAAGTTGTCTGGAAGACATATCGCTTTTGCATGCCATAAAATGATTTGGTTCACAAATCGTCAATATATGCTTTCCATTCGTGTCGCAAGCTCCTTGCTACGAAATCAAATCTATCTATCTATCTATCTATCTATCTATCTATCTATCTATCTATCTATTTCTTAATGAAAATCTATCTATCTATCTATCTATCTATCTATCTATCTGTGTATGTGTGTGTAAGGAGTATTTATATTGTACCTTTATGATTAATGTATAATGGCTTATTTCCAACCGTCATTCTTGTCGAATTTCTTAATGAGAATCTATCTATCTATCTATCTATCTATCTATCTATCTATCTATCTATCTATCTTTAGAAAGACAAATTAGAAAGCAAGCTTCAAAAATTTAAATTATGATAATTTTTCAACCCATTCATGCAGGTCTGTGTTTGTTGTCTGTCTGTCTGTCTGTCTGTCTCTCTCTCTCTCTCTATATATATATATATATATATATATATATATATATATATATATATATATATTTAATTTATCTATCTATCTATAGAAAGAAAAGAATGGAAAATTGAAAAGCAAACATTGTTGTCATAGATAGATAGATACATAGATAGATAGATAGATATGAACAGACTGAGATAGATAGATAGATACATATGAACAGACTGAGATAGATAGATAGATAGATAGATATTAGATAGATAGATAGATAGATAGATAGATAGATAAATAGGAACAAACCATATAAACTCATGGACAGGGTACTGAAAGAAATGGGGAGAAACGGAATAACCATACGTTATAAAAAGACAGAATGTATGGACGTTAGCAAAAGACACAACCCGGGAAGTGAGCTACGATTTGGCGATGTCACAATCAATACGCACAGGCATTTAACTATCTGGGAATTTCTTCGAAGGTACCTTGGAAGAGCAAAAGATGACGTTCAAAAGCTGAACAAAAATATTAAGAAACCGGAAACTTTAATTAAAAAGCAAAGAAAAGAAGACCTGAATTGTTATGTAATGGCAGTCTTCCTGTATGCCAGTGAATGCTGAACAATTTTCACACAGATGAAGAGGAGACTTGCATCAGCAGAGGCGCGGTTCTGGAGAAGAATGTTTAGAATACTGTGTGTGTGTGGGGGGGCATATGAATAAAGGGCGCAGTATTAGGGAAAATGCAAACAAAAAAGACACTTGTATTTAAAATGAAAAACAGTTGAAACTTCTAGCATTAAAAAAACAGGTAAATTATTCAAGACGTCTTTTTTTTATACGATACAATATCCCCGCTTCAGAAATACGTTCTAGAAAACAAATACATTAAAAGACATGACATTTTTGCCAGAAATCTTTTTCATAAAATCGCTCTGGACAAAGTAGTAAAAGAAATCGAAAATAAAAGATTATCAATTGTAAGAAGAGAGTTTATGATTGTTAGCAAAAGGGGCTAACCCAAGAGGTTTGTTACGATCTGAAGATGTCAAAATCAAGTCCTGTCTGAGAAGTTGTTTTAACAGGCGACAGAAAATGTGGCACAGAAATCCGAAGGTGACTCGGAATGGTAAAAGATAACATTCAAAAGCTGAACAAAATATTAAGAAACGGGAAAATTTAATTATTAAAATTTGAAATGTAATTTTCGTTTTTCCTCAGATGATTTGAAAACGAACAGGCGATAAAAAAATTAAATCCTACCTTAAATTTGTGAGAAAATAGCGTACACTGTTCTCAATTCACTATCTTATTTTCCCTAAAAAAAAAATCCCTTTAAAAGTGACAAGAATCCAAATGAATTATTTATTCACAAAAATTACAATGGAATAAGTAGACACGCTTAGTCGTCTTTGTATGGACACAGGGTTTTGCGTGCGTGAGAATATTAGAATCAACTTTAACAGAATGACATTAAAATCTTCGTTTTTACAACAGGTAAGGAATGTGAATTATACAGGACGTCTTTTTATACGATACACTATCCCCGCTTCAGAAATACGTTCTAGAAAACAAATACATTAAAATAAATAACATTTTTGCCAGTAATCGCTCTGGACAAAGTAGTAAAAGAAATCGGAAATAAAGGATTATCAATTGTACGAAGAGAGTTTATGATTGTTAGCAAAAGGGCTAACCCAAGAGGCTGTTACGATCTGAAGATGTCAAAATCAAGCAAGTACTAGCCATTCCACTACAAGGAAATATATCATCTACAAACTATATATATCCATGAAACATAGGTTTACTCTGAGAGTATAAAATCATATAATCATATATTTTAGTTGGAGTCAAGAATTTTCTTACAAATAGTTTCGATTTCAGCACTAAATAAAAAACCATAGGAATTGATATGCCGTTATATAAAAAAAAAAAATAACCAAAAACAAACGAAGAAACAAACAAACCAACGAAGATATGGTGATTTTCATAAACTGAAACTTAGGTGTGGCACAAGGCTTTCGAAAGTAGGCGCACAAAAGTAAGGAATCGAACTGGCTACTCAGTGGTTAACTGTACTAGCAAGACAAACTCGTTAACAATTACACCGTCTGGGGTTGACTGAAATAGTGATTTTTATCTTTTTTTTTAGATGCACAATGCCGAAAATTATGGGACACCCATTGATGATCAAACTTTTACCCAGTAGTAATTGTTCTAGTAAGACAAGCTCGTTAACCATTACCTCGCCTCGGAATACCCCGAATAGTGATTTTCTGAGCGAAGTTTAGATGTAACACAAGGCCGAAAGTATGTAGCACCAAGTTATGATCGAACTCAATACTCAGTCGTAATTGTTCTAGCAAGACAAACTTGTTAACCATTGCACCACGTCGAGGTGCCTCATCAATGATTTCGCAAGCGTAGCTCAGATGTGGCACAAGGCCGAAAGTATGGGGCACCCAGTAAGGATCGAACTCACTACTCAGTCGTAATTGTTCTAGCGAGACAAACTTGCTAACCATTACATCACGTCAAAACGCCCAGGGCTTATTTTGTAAGCGTAGCTTAGATGTGGCACAAGGCGGAAAGTATGGAGCACCTAGT